TTGACCCACCATTTCCAACAATTATGTGGGAATGTTCATGTTCATGTTCATGTTCATGTATGTCCTCTTTAGTTGTCTCAGTAACGCGGAAGATTGAACACAAAAGGATTTTCCGCTCAGTTTTAAATCTAAAACCGATTGACACCACAATGAACTACAACTTTACCCACTACAGTTGCTTTTATTGCCCACCAAAAAAACCCACAAAGGGAAAGTGTTATTGCAGCCATACAGGCTGAAGAAACCGGGAGAAAGAAGAAAGCCAAGGCAGACAGTAGCACGAAGTAGAAGGGAAGAACGCAACCAGGTTACTCTCTCAAGGTTTTGCAATGAACACGATCACAAGGGATTAACCAATATATTAGTGAAAATTAGAGGAATTAAGTGTTTTTATTCGTTGTTGGAGTGGTGGTGGTTTTTACGGTTTTGGTGACATTAGGGTGGTTTTATTGGAGGTGGAGGTGGTGGTGGTGGTGGTGGTGGATCTGGCGGTAGCATTGGCAGCGGTGGTTGTAGTGGTCGTGGTGGTTGTGGTTGAGGTTGTGTTAGTGGTGGTATGCGGTGCGGTGGGATGTTTGTAACCAATTATTTAGTTGATTGTCATCAATAAATTGATAAATTTGTGTCAAATAAATAATGTGACCTAAAAAACGTGATCACGACTTACATTTTATTAAATTGTGACTGATAAATAATTTGGGATCAATTAATTTGATATTTTATAACTTATAAAATTTGTGATTTGTGATTAAGGAATAATATGTAACGCATGAATTTGATAAATTTGTAATCGATATATAAATTGTGATCTATAATTTTTTTTTTATTTGTGACTGAGAAATAACTTGTGACCAATTAATTCGATAATTTGTGACCAAACTGTACAGAATTGTGACTTTAATATATTTAATCAATAAAATACATGTTTAATTAATTATTTTGCAAATTAAATTTAATAATGTCTGATTTTTTAAGTTTTAAACCTTATTTCTTAATTTTTAAATGGGTCATAGTTAACCTCACATATATGAATTTTTCCTATATATTAGTTAGAGTAGGTTTAGGTTAAGTAATGGGCTAAGCCCAATAAAGATCAATAGGTAGTTAATAAGTGG